TATATATATATATAATGTTGAGTCCTAGTTTAATAAAGAACGGCTTATTAAGCGATTACCTGATAGGGCAGTGGCCTGCTTCCCACCAAGGCGTATATATATATATATACATATGTTAATCAACGTAATAAAACATGAAAATATGAAGGAAATTCGCAAGATATACATTCCAGAATGCTTCAACAATGGATCAAGTAAAGTTGGTTTGTTTCCAAGTATGCACAGGAAAACATGGGAAACAGGTCATTTGAGATCAGTTCAGGTATGTGGGATTATGTTGTTAATTAACCCAATGCTTTGGACGCACTCCGACGGCAATGGGATAACTGAAGTGTGATTGAAGGTCACCTACGATAATCTCGGAGATTGATTGTTGATCCGGAGTTAGACTGAATCGTGGAGCTGAGGATCACGTGAGAAAATCGTTAAGCCGTTTTCGACAATCCCCGTTTGGAAACGGATGATATGTAATTTTGGTTATTGTGGCTATTCATTTCACTTCGAGTGATGGCTGCCAGTTCCTCTCTTTAATCCCCGTTAATCCTTAACCCGCACCCTTAATCCACGCATCTATATCAAGAATTCAAGATCGTGACCGAATTCGTCAAAAGTCAGAAAGGAAACGAAGAGCTCGTTCTAAACGGGTATGTTTACGAACGCGATTCGCTTGGAAGCAATGGGACAATATGCTGGAGATGCGTGGAGGCCAAGTCGGGATGCAGGGCATTATAATGATGAAAATAAAGAACTGATAAATCAAGAAAATCGTGTCTGAGCACCATCAGCGGGACTTGGATTCATACGTCGGAGGAATCGCACATAATATGGACTATTAGATCGTGTCATATATAAGAAGTTTATTTATATGAGAAGTTTATTTATATGAGAAGTTTTTAATAGTATTATACATTGAATTAAAATCGTTCAATTCAAATTTTGGCTGATAATAAAGAACTTCCAAAATGTTTCCTGTTCGAGATTATGGGTTGAAATGCTTGAATTGTTGAATATGAAGATCGAGATTGTGGGTTCCGAGATTGTGGGTTTCGAGATTCTGTCCGTAACTCGGTTTTACGACTTCTTTGAGTGTTTCGCTGACTGTCACGTCGGGGGTGTGTGGAATGCAGGGCATTTCCTCATCGTTTACTGCTCCGAGACGGCCTTGAGAGGGTCTGGATGATTGCCAGGCGGAATTGCGAAGATTCCGATTCGGATTCCACGTGGCCGGATCGGAACCGGATCGGAGCCGGATCGGGGCCGTGACGCATTGTCCATTGTGCGATGGGCTTCCTTAAGGGGAAGCGTTGTTTCGAGGTTTCGATGGGCTTTCGGAGGTAATCCGATCTGCTCGGCGGTTGCTGTCTCTAGCGGGAATATTTGGGTCACCAGGGACGAATGGTCTAACTCATGTGTCATTTAAACGGTGTCGGCTCGGATTATGACGCATTCCGACGGTTGGGAGAAGAGTGTCGGGGTGTTCGGTGGGTTTCAATTTTTTTTTTTTTTAGTGGGGTTGGGGTCTTGTGGAGGTGGTTGCTTTAGGCTGGCCTAATTCTCAAGGCTGCGACACAGCTGTCGATCGTTTCCAGCTCGACGAGTCGTTCTGTAACCCGAGTCTCGAGCTGGTTATGTCATGCAATCGGCTGATGCGAGGAGAATCAACGCGTGCGCTTGTGCGTCTCGAGTCTCCTTAATTGAAGCGCTGAGGGTGAAACTGGTCCGTGCGGACAGATCGCCTTTTCCTTCAGAGTCCTCCTTTGTGAATTGTGCTCATCGGGAAAGTGATCCGGGGTGAAGGCCACTGCTGAATCTCGACGAACGATCTATATGCAGATAGATCAGTTTTCCTTTCGGCACTTCAATTCGTCCTCCCCGGTCTCGAGCTTTGATTCATAGCTGTGCTTAGCGATTTTCGCCCTTCTCACCTCGTCGGAAGGGGACCGATGAAAACCACTGTCGTCACCGTGACTCGGGCGTGAAGCGTCTGTCTCCAGAGGTGTCGCTTCATACTCTTTAACGCCAGTGAAGATTCCCATCGGTGCGGAGTGTCTGTCGTACTAGACCCGATGAGTGTGAACCCTGTGCCTTAGCTGTCCTTTGAGTGCACAGCTTCCAATGCTATCTGTTCCGAGGTCCTCCGGTTTCGGTCCCGATTAGTGGAGTTTCCCCCCCATTCCCCCGGAATAGTGAAGGGGGACCAAAAACTTGTGGTAATCAGGTTAGGGTCATTATTTTCAGCTCAATGACTCTAACATCCTGCTACATCAGGATCTAATGTTAAATTAATGCTTTCTTCATGATCGTCACTGCGTGTTCAGAATGCCCTTGTGTCAGAGAGATGTCACTGACATCCCCTGTGAGAGGTGGAGAGATGTGTCACTGACATCCGTCAAGGACGAAATTATCAAGAACACATATCAAAAAGTGACAGTCAGCAAACTATGGTCCCCAGAATTTAGCGGCTTAAAACACGATTCAAAAACTTTGTTCGTTTGCTAGAGAGAGTTACGTGAATTTTATTTCGAAATTGGGTTATGCCTTCGGACCTACTGACTACCCTGTGATTTCAATAATTTCCAGTGATGTCAGATTTTAAGTACTTTCAGTACTGTTCAGTGCTTTGAGTACTTCTCAGTACCTCCATTTCTGCTATCCATTCCCCCATGGCTTATGAGCCGAAATATATTACTACCCTTAGCGTGTTTTCTAGTGCCGTCCATTGCTGACATTCAGAGCGTTCCACAAATAATTACAAACGCGAAATTAGGCCAACATGGTGCGTCAGAGGTCAGGGTTTTTTTCCCTGAGTTTGGTCTGATAAATTGTTGAAACTTGGTGAATATCTCAATACATTCATGTGGGTGTCAGACATATAGTCAATGTCAATCCACGCTCGAGATTTCAGCCCAGTGATATAACCCGACGTACTGATTAATGTAATCCATTGTCATGTACTGCAATGCAACGTGATGTAATGTAATGTAATGTAATGTTGCAAAGCTGGGAAGGAGTCGAAGAAATTGAAAGATACTCTCAAATAAAAACATTGGTATTCAAACACTGAGATTTTTTTCTCACAATTGCAACTAAGTATATTTTAAAATTAGTATTAATTATTGGAATCTCTGTATGAAACCCTTTTATGAAAATTTCCAGCAGAATATATGAATCAAACAGCTTCAGTCTGAACTCCACTTGGACAAGGGTTAAAGGAATCGCTTTGAGAAGACTCGCGTCTTCATTCACGTTGAAACTTCTTGTTAATTCTCCATCACTAGCGCAAATACCCTTTGTTGAATGGTTTATTTGCTTAACCTTGTTTTTCATGGAGCACATTCATCGCTTGCAGATTACGCTGCAAGAATCATGCAGGCAGCAATGACCTCATCAATGCGACTCATTAATTACAGTTCTCTTAATTAATGTCTCCCTTGGACAACGTAGAAAAGTGAGCCGAATATTATTCGCATCGGATCCTCGCAGATTTCCTCAGTACTTTCCCGACTTGCATGCGAAATACTACGGAATATCTACAGGATTCTTGTCCGAAATGACTTGCTGCGTGAAGTGTCCCTCAACGAATATATGTCATGGCCAATTTGTTTCCCTGTTTAGGATATGCTTGATCATGAAGCCATTCTTGTCTGAATCTTATTCATCCCTTTTATGGGATACAATTCTCTTCTGTGCGAGGGACGACTTAAAATACAATATTCGATGGGAGGCATGGAAGTCTGTTAAACCGATGCAAGCGAATTTCACATGTGCTCCACTTAACAGAAAATGAAATCGACTGGCACAATAGATTCCATATCAGTCATTTTCCCCAAGAATCGAAAGTCGATGGATGTTCTGAAGTGCCTGGGCGGAGCAGCTCCGTTCCGCAATGTCGATGGACAGACAGGTATTGAGCATGGTTATCTTTTAGAATAGTGACATATCTCAATGAATGAATTCATGCGAATTCGAATCGGCGAGGGCTCACACGAAGATCTTTCATAAATTCTCGATAGAAAATTACATTGGTCAACATCTTTTAAAGAGTTCATTCGCACATTGCAGGTCGCTCCAGGAAGTATGATCCCTCGGAAAACACTTATGTATAAGCGGTAAAGGAAGGGACTTCGTTGAAACCGATTGAAATACCCAAAAGTAACTTGGACCCTGGTGAAGCAGATGCGCCTGGAGCTGCGTAAGAGCAATCCCGACGTCGATCGACTTCCCTCATGCGAGACGACTGATCCTGCCAAATAATTTAAATTTAAGAACTCTGCCAGTAAGTTTACTGCTTGCAAATCGGCATTTTACACCCATTGGAGAAAGAAGTTTGTCAAATTTATCCAAGGAAAATTTGATGCATCGACGTAATTCTTTATTGCAAAAGGGGTAGAACTTCACGGATTCGATGGATGCATTGGATAAGCTCCGCGCCGTGGTGTGGAAGGAGGAGTTTTGGTTGCCGAGGAATGTGACATGGAATGACATGAAGTCACAACCGGGAAGGCCGATGCCGGAATACCAGGATCTGCTCTACGTCCTTCCCATCACAGCCACTTTCGTCCTCTTTCGGGTCTTCCTAGAATCGTCAGTGTTTCATTTATTGACGACCATCTCTCGCAGACTCGATTCGTTCTCTGTTGCCCTATTGATTGCCATATTGTTCATGCAGGTTCATCATGGAACCCCTGGCTAGAGCAAAGGTAGAACAGGTCGGTGCCTTCCGCCAGTATGGGATGGTGAAGGGCGATGGACACGTTGTGAGTGCTGGAAAAGCCATGAGGCTCGAATCTACAGGGTGAGTCAAAAGTCCTGCCCCCCCTTTAACCAGTAATAACTTTTTAACGCTTGATCTCATGGCGATGCGGTTTTCAACAATCGGAAGACATGATAGTTATATATACCTAGTACTGCCATAAATACTGTTACAAGGTTTTTTTTTGTAATAAGTCTTTTCATATAAAATATACGCTGTATTTGCAAACAGCATTTATTTCCCTACATTACTACTAACATATTACAGAATCATTATTCAAAATGTCCACTCCTGGCCTTCACATATGACTTTAAACTATCAGACCACTCATCCATCGCAGCACGCACCACTTCCATTGGGATATTGGTTGCTGATTCTGCAAGGGCTCGCTTGAGACTTTCAATATTTCGATGTATTCTGTGATTGGCCTTCAGCTCCAACTCTGTCCACAGTTTGTTGTCCATTGGGTTCCCAGATGGCCAATCGGAGCCCTTGATGAACTTGAGGACATTGCTGGCCAGCCATTCCTGCATTGTCCTAACTTTGTTAGCAGGTTCGGAGTCTTGCTGGAAGATCCAGTTGCCCCCATTGAACATTGTTTAGCTGAGAGGCTTCACTGACTTCTCTAAGACTTCTTCCTGGTACACTTTGACTGATGCCTTCACTTCTTGCTTTCAAAAATGCAGCTTGGTGACACCCTCATGACTCACCCCCCACCAAACCACTACAGAAGCAGTACGGTGACCTCTCTTTACCTTATGGATGACTTCTGCAGCTTCCCAAGAGTTGTGGACATACACTTGGCCATTTGCCCAGTTGAATTTTTCTTTAACAGTGAAGATTTTCCCATCAGTAAAGAGGATTTTGTGGTGTCTGTTTTGCGCGTACCTCTGCAGCAATACTTTCGATCGCAACCTCCTGATTTCTTTCAGAGATGGAGTCAGCATGTCTCGTGTGATTTTTCAGTAAGCATCCATCCTTAGGTCTGATTTAATCAACCGATACGTGCTTTAGGTCGAGATGGCCATTTCCCTGGCCATCACTTTCTGCTTGCGTAGAGAATTTCGCTGACTCCTGCTGCTAACTTCTTTGATGAGTCGTGGTGTTCTGGGAGTGGGTGGACGTCCAGATCTAGGGCGGTCTCGTACTCCGAGTATCATTGTAACGTTTGATAGCTCGGTAAACAAACTGCCTACTGATTCCAAGTGGCTGCAAAGTCTTCAAATGATTGCAGGTTTCTGACCCACTTTGTGCAGGGCAATCACTGCGATTCGATTCTCTTTGTCACCCCACTCCATGTTTACTGCACGCAACACAACAGCCAAATTTTACCAAACAATACGGCAGATAATGCACTACACGATTACCAAGTTGCAAGTTTCAAACTTCTTTCGCTAGAATGCAAGGAACATGTACATCTTGTAACAGCATTTATGGCAGAACTAGGTATAAATGCATGGATTTTTGCAAAATTTTCCCTTTGGTATCCATCGGAAATGAAATTGGGTCTTATAAATCTTGGGTCGTATAAATGCATTGGCACCCAAAACATGCTTGCAGCACTGTGTCTTATTTTCCGCCCGACTGTCAGAGAGTGTCCAGATCGGGGAAGGTCTGCTACGGTTCCTGTCCTGTTAACATTTGAGTTGACATGGGCGAACATCTATCGGCTGACAGTTCCTCTGATGAATTAATTCCTGAATTGTCGAACGATTTCCTTCGCATTCTGAGTGAAGCCGAAATTTGGCAAATCGCTTATCAATGGTCAATCGTTCATTTACTACTTTTCTCAATTCTTGATGAATTGGAATTGATTACAGCCAAAACACAACTCTCAAACTTGAACGGACAATTGGATGAGGTGCTGCAAGGGTGTTTTCACGTGCCAATGCCTTTGTATAAACTCCAGACGAAGAATTTAATTTCCCGAATGACACCACAAGCCAAATAATGCAAAAATCCTCAAGTCGATATATAATTTTCTATTCTTTCGAATGATAAAACATTATTTCGATGAGATAAAGTGTTAAGAAGTTGTGAACGTTCAAAGGGTGGGCAGGAGATTTGACTCACCCAGTATAAAAGTTATTCTTTCGAAAGTGAATTATTCCTACATTCCATTATTGGTAATGCAGCACACCGGAACTCCAACTGCAGACAGAAATGTGATCCAAAAGAAAAAGGATGACCTCATGAGAGAGAAGGCACTTCTCGAAGTCCGGAAAATTAGGGAGACTGGGTGAGTCCGAAGTTGAAATGTTGAAACTCTATCGCTTTAATACGAGCATATCTCTATAATATCTGAAGTAAATAAACAAATACAATCAAATGACGAAACGATTCCCAGTGATACCTAGCAGTTGTAATTTCGAAATGTAGGGTGCAACAGAGGAAGAAAACTGCAAATTCATATAAGATATAGAATCCATACCGCAAATACGATAGGTTCTTCCTTCAACAAAAATATGCACCAGAAGGCACACCACAATTGACATACATTGAATTAGAAGTTCATTTGAAATGCTTTACTTGCCGATTGTCGCTTGAAGTTGGGCTGCAATTGACATAGCTTTCATAGCCAATTTGGACTTCTTCCCTTAAAGATGTCGCTTAACATCGATAGAAGAATTTAGTGAAACATCCATTACGTGTGGAGTGATATCCAGCTGAGACCATACCGATCGTGTTTCCCACAGCTATAAGTCCGTGCTACACAGCATTCTCTTCCTGTACGGGATATGGACGATGGCGGACAAGCCATGGCTGAGGAACACACGGCTGTGCTTCGTGAACGTCCCGTTTCACGTGAGTTCGACGCCGAATTTGGTTTTCCCGTTTTTGGCAAATATTCCACTCTGTGGAGTATTTATGGAATTCCACTCAAATCCCGTTCATTTCTATTACCATTAAGGCACTTACCGCACAGTTTTAACGATCCACCTGTTAACTTTGAAACTGAACAATGCATAGCTCGAAGAAATGTCTTAAAAACAAGAATAATCTAGACACCTTGAGTATATTTGTCCCAAATCAAGAGTTTATGATTCTTATCATTTATGCTGAAATATACGAATTTCCCTTTTCCCCATAGAAAATTTGCTGCGTTTTTTAAAGCACCCTGTATTGAGTTGCACACACGGACAGATAATAAACATTCCACTTGCATTTATCCATTTGTATTGAAGAAGAATGGAAATAGCTGATGGCGAAGAATAGTACTTTAAATAATCCCCTTCCCTATTAGCCCTTCCTCCCATTACTCCACATAGCATTTCCTTCAATCGATCGCACGATATCGATTAAATTGAAGTCGACAAGAATGCATCGATTTCAATGTGTCGTTTCGTTTCGGAATGATTCTTCATCAAAATGGAAAGTTACTTCATTGCTACGGTACAGGCTGCATGATCCAGATTGCCAAATATTGAATCCAATCTCTGAGCCAGCCGATATTCTTTCAACTGTAGTTAATCATCAGAAATAGGATGCCAAAAACTCTATGGCATAGATTTGGATCTTACACTAATATGTATACTCCTTATACTTGGCGATTTAAGATTTCAAAGCAGACTTTTTCAAAAATAAGGAAATAGTTGGAGTCAATCATTTGGATTTCATTTCGTTCTTTCTCTTTTTTCCACTTAGTCGAACACCTACAGTTTTTTCAGGAATTTAAAATCGATGATTGAGAACGTTTTGGAATGAGAAACGTTCGTATGTTTGCAAAATGCTAATGGCTGCTGCATTTTTCGTTTGAAAGCAACTGAAATTAAAATTTAAAATTTGTCCTCTATCTTAGAATCCTTTGCGCTCCCTGCTATCTTCATATTCTACGATTTCTTCATAACCATTACAGAAAATTTATTTTTTGCGCTTTAAGTTACAATTGGCATGAATTGTGAAGTTGTGACATTTTCGCCCTAAACTGGAAGCATCTGAAAGTCACCTTTGCTTTCGTCTATCCATAAATTAAAATCGCTTGATAATGTGTTTCTGATATACGATTTACAATCCATAAATAATCCATGGGGTGATGAGAAATCCCTTGGCCATACATTGCACGTTTTAGAGTTGGAACAATCTTGGCGCCTTTTTATTTCGCACCCGTATGAAAGTTTAAAATTTTTTTATGAAATGAACCTGAAAACTCCATATAAAGCTATGCATAAAAAATGGCAAACAAATTATGACATTATCATGAACATTGGTAACCGAACGATGGATGTCCCGCCCTGGCATGCATTACTCATCGCTAAAAATGTATCTTGTGATTGACTTAACCTTTGAGACCCAAAGGCCTAGGTGACTTTCTCGGACAGCTAATGTCGTGTCGTGACTCACACATTTTGAATTTTGGAATGCATAATTTTCCCTGTAAGAGGAAACTAATGGATGATTCCAGAAATGGTTGTGTAAAATGTTAGAAGAAAAGAGAGATTTTCATAACATATTTTACATGCAAGTTGATTTTTCTTTGCAAGTTGACTTACATAAAATATACCGTGCAACTTGAACCCCATCAGATTTTCGCCATTCATGTTAACTTACAAGCCTTCTTTTTTATGCAAGTTAACTCACAATAGACTTTCGTGCGAGATCAGGAGGTATATCTCGACCCCTGAGGATACATAGACGATTTCTGTTTAGAACTCAGATTGCGCCTGGCCTTAGGAAATCGATAAGGGGGATGTCTTCATCATTTTGCTTTCATTGGCAGCTTATTCTCTTGCTTTGTTCAGTGTGATAGAAATGAAGTTGCAGGTTCTCGTTCTCCAACAGCTCAAGTAGTTTCCGTCGAACTAATCAGCCTTCAAATCAGTAATATTGGGCCCAAAATCCTCATGCACTTCATCTGTCTCAAGTAGCACATAATATTGATTCAACGTTGATTTGGTGCGGATTGAGGATATCACTGATTACACCTCTATGTTGAATCAACATTGATTCATTGGATTATTTTGCAGTGCAAAATCCCCTATGTTTAATGTCTACCGTTAGGAAATTTTTGTGCTTTATCAGGGTTCATTAAATTGTTTAGCCGCTCGGCCAGAGTGTGTTTCTATCTAAAAAAAAAATCATTGATTTATGGCATATCTCTGAATCTCAATTGCAGAATCTGAAATGAGTCCTGGCAGAAATTCTATCACAGCAAACAAGCAGAAAGCAAAAAATAAAATTTATCGTGTGCATCCGACAGGGTGGAGTTTTCTCAAGACAAACGGAAATTTAAAAAGGGAGACTCAATAAAAATTGCATATGTATATATATTTTTAAGCTAATAAATCAATTGACTTGAATAAATTTTAAAATCAAGGCATTAATGAACGAATGTGTATGCGTGAGGCTGTTTGGGTTGGCCCAAACCCTGAACCCTAACTTTAGGTTCCTGCGGGTGATTCACCGAGACGATAGAGTTTAGTGGCCCTGCGACTGATGGAAAACGCTACTTGATCCGTCAGTCGCAGGGCCACTAAACCAGGGACACCGTCTACACTCTTAGGAAAGGGTGCGCGATTTCCGAGAAAGGGAGCGAAACGGGAGTTAGCGATTTTAGTCCCTAAAAACAAGGAGTAATGTCGCTCACCCAAGGCCGTATTTAGGTTCAAGGGGTTCAAACCCCCCCCCCCCCGAAATATCTTCCTTAAATTTTTGCCATCCGTCAGTGTAAACGGTGCAGTTCATGGTTTTTTCAATCTTTAATAGTTTATGCCTTATTAAACACTGAAAATTGAAGGAAAATCCAGATATGTCACAAATACTTAAAATGACAAGTATTAAAAAAATTGCCACAGCGCATACGCCAGACCTCAACCCCCCCCCCTCCCCCCCGAAATGAAATCCTAGATACAGCCCTGCGCTCACCTCACTCTTTCTTGAGAATAACCGCTATCTTTTTCTACTGGTTTGAAAAATATTCTCCCTTCTTTATATCGCAATCTTCAAAAAGTTATAATTTCTGTTCATATGAAGGAGTAGTTGTCGATTGTACTTCCTCGTTTTTAGGAGCGAAATCGCAATCTCCAGTTTCGCTCTCTTTCTTGGAAATCGCTCACTCCAAGAGTGTAGGGTCACCAAGGTAATTTTTCGGCCGAAAATGTTTTTTTTTCACAATTTTTATTTGAAAAACCGTGTAGAATCAATGTTGACAACCGAATGTGGTTTCAACGTTTCCTACGTTGAGGCAATAACGTTGAATGAGGTATGATAGGCGAAGAGCCTACCACAAGTGCAAACGGAACGATGAAACGTTTGGACACGTTCTTGGATACGTTTCAATCGAAATATTTTTAGAGTTTGCCTTAGAACCTTGAGCATGGTTGAATGGGGAAGATCAAAGAAGGCGGGCCACGGCACGACTGCTGCTCGTTCCATGTGCACTTGCGCTGGGGTCTTCGCCAATCGCACCTCACTCAAGGCCTGTCTCCATGCAGCTTGTTGCAAATACATCCTGTCTCCTCGAACTTGTCGACCAGATTCACCAGTTCGTCCCGTGCAGGGTCCTGTGGAATTTCTTGTTTTATCTTTGAAGGATATTGTCTATCATCAATTTAAATATGGCGATATAGCAATTTAAATGACACCAGAAAGAAGCTTCTATCTTAATTAGAAGGGAATTTACTGCAGTAACAATTTCACAATTCCTCTAAGAATGATGCGAAAATTGGCGCCAGTCAAATGCATATATTAATAGATCGGTGGGAGATATAAAAAATTGGCAGACATTTATTCCTTCAAATCGATTCCGCTACATGTATGGTAATTTTCTTCAAATTCGGTGCTGGTCGAGCTTAAGCTCTTGTCGAATTGGCATGGAATGACCCAAGGTACCTAGTAGATATTCGATCGTGAGGGACTGAGCGACAGACGCCGATTCTAACATGTTAAACTTCTAAATAATTTAAAAATATGACCTTGGTACACGAGGAGCAATTGGGATGCAGAGGTCAGAAATAAAATTCGACTTTGCATATACATGCCTTGGTAGCACACATTATAGGGGGAGAGGTTTTCAAATAAATAGCTTTCCTTCGGTCAAATGGTGAGGCATGGAAAGCTGAAACCTGTAGTGAACGTGCCCACTGAGAAACAGAGTTTAGATAAAATATCAAGTTTCCGATGCATCCCATGCGGACATTTTTTGGGGGGTGAAGTTTTCAATTTTTTTTTTGTCCTGGCGAATTGGCAGAAATAGAAAGGTGGAATTTGACGCACGCATGACAGACGTGATGAGTTCAGGAAAATGTCAGCTTTTGTGGTGCATACCCTCAGGGCATGCTTTTGGGTGGGTCAGCTTTTCCAAACATATTTTTTCTCAGCAATATGGGCAAGTATATAATTTTGAAACTGTAGTTCTCCGAGTACGGATTTCATGAAGAAATTGCACTTTTTAGGTAAAACCCCTTAATACCCCTTTTTTTTGTATGAGGCGCAATTTCCCCAATCTTCTTGGATCCAACTAAACAGAGAGCGATGGAAAGTTGAAACTTGGCGCTTAAATACATGATGGATAGCTGAGCAAAGAAAATATCGCTCTTTTGAAATATGCCCCCTCAGGAAGGATTATGGGAGGGATGTATTTAAAGATGTATTCCTCGCTATGACAAAAAGGGGCTCAAAGAGATTTAAAGCATAGGCGCGCAAGAAATCATCAGAGTAATTATTTAAATTTAAATAATATATCGGTAAGATTTGCCACTTTGCAAATGAATAAATGATTTAATCATTATCCTACATATTGGAGTGCCGAAGAAACGATATATAATACTATGTCGCACCTTCGGCGCTCCATCACTTTGGATAGTGATCAATTCATTTATTCTTTGCGAAATGGAAAACACGTATTTACGTCCCCATTGCATTAAGTGACATATGGGGACAAAAGTCTTCATTTTCATCAAAATCATTGCATCTATGATTCTGTGTGCCTAACCTGAAATCTTTTCATGTATCCATTTTTGTAAGGTTGGAGAATACATTTTGCAAGACTTCCCTCCTATAATCTACGCTAATGGGGCATATTTCAAAAGTAGGATTTTTCCTGTACTCAGCCATCAAATAGGTACTTCTGAAGGAAGTTTAAATTTTCTGCCTCTGTTTCGTTGGATCAAAAAATACTTCGGGAAAATGGGACTTTAAAAAGAGTGCCCTGATGAACAATTATTTTTCTTCTGAAATGTAGACTCAGGGAACTCCATGCCACCGAGTTTTAGCCTCATACGTTTCCACTTTTTTACTGGCGGTAAAAAATATATTTGGAAAAGCGACCCACCCAAAAGTTGTGCTCCGAGGAGGTGCACAGCAAAAGTTGAATTTTTCTTTAGATCAACATCACTGCCGTTATTCGTGCGCCGGCTGCTATTCTTCTATTTCTGCCCGATTCGCTAGGATATAAAAAATTCTTTAAAAACATGACGACCCCAAGAAATATGAACCCCAAAAATATTTTGGAAAATTGAAGTTTGACATTTGAGCTCAGTGCGTCAGCGGTCACGTTCTTGTCAACTTTCAGCTTTTCATTTGCATCCGTTTGATCACAGCAAAGAGATCTAATTGAAAATATGTTCCCCGAAAAGGTGTGCCCCTATGGCATATATCACGAAAGTAGAATTTTTCCTTTACTCAGCTATAGAACAGGTTCTTCTTTGGCAAGTTTAAACTTTCTAGCGCCCTCTGTTTTGCTGGATCGAGAAAATACGCCTATTGCAATATATGTGCCCTCAGGCGTTTAAACGGAAAGTACTTTTCTTTTTTTTTTACCGAAATCAATCCTCAGAGAACTACATGCCCAGAAAGTTTCAACCCTATACGTTTGCCCTTTTCACTCGTGAAAAAAACATGATTGGAAAAGATACTTTTTGGAAGGGGAATGACTATCGCGATTTAGAAGGCATAGGAGGCTGAAAGAAAGCCGAGGAACGGCCGGGAATTGAACCCGGGCCTCCTGCTTGCAAGTCAGGTGTGTTACCTCTACTCCAACGAACCCGGAATATCTAGTTAATCCTCTCGATGCCATCCTAATATCCCAATCTATATATCTTAAAAAATTTCTCCCCCAAAATGTGTACCCCGAGGGAATGTACCTCAAAATTCAGATATTTTCTTAAATATGTGTCCCATTAGGTACATGTGTACCACTTCTTTAGAACATGGTTAGAATTAGCGTGAGTCAGTCAGCCACGATCGTCTACATATATTAGGTACAGCGTATATAATATGAGTAAATCAATCAAATATAAGTAATAGTAACAATTAAATGAAATGTTAAGATGAAAGTATGAAATGAATAAATAAATGAGGAAACACACCAACCTCATGATAGCGCAGGATGACAGACTGAACATTAAAAAATGAAAAGGTAGCAAGCAGGAAGGATGTGGATGGAAGTAGGACCGCAGCCAATTCGGGGATAGTTTAAATAGTTCCATACAAAAGTTCGTTCATTTTTGTGTAGGGGGTACCATGGGATGTGTGGTGGTATTACATACTGCTGCTGGCATTCTACGTGACCCAGTTAGTCATGTTGCCGTTCGACGTGAAGAGGAATGACTACCTTGCGCAGACAACCCACCACGTGGTCACCATCGGTCTCATGGTGGGATCCTGGATCAGCAATGCCACCAGGATTGGATCCATCGTGCTTATCGTCCACGAGTGCGCTGATGTCATGCTTCAGGTCTGACGGTCTTCAAATGTTTATGATAATCTAGCGAAATATTCATGTAACGAAAAATTATATGTCAATGTCAACATCGATATTAAATTCCATAAAACAGAGAAATATACATGTCCACTGTAAAATATTCTGCATGAAATGCGATTGTTGTCTGCAATGTGTGGTTCAACTTACGCCTGTGCACAATTTCCAGTGCGGGAAACTACTGAAATATTTCAAGAAACCTGATCCGAACGACATCGTCGGAAAGGTCTTCGTGATCTTCTCAGCAACTTGGATCCTAACCAGAGTCATCTATTTCCCAGTATTCATCAGCATCCCGTGAGTCCTCCTCGCCCCTCACGGGAATCCCCCTCAATAATAAGGTCCTTGAGAATCCTCGCATCCACCGCCCATAGAACCACTGAAGCTGTTCTGGATCCAGACCGACTTGGAGGCTGCTTCATCTTCAAGGCCCTCGCCGTACTGCTTTGGATCCTGTTCATTCTTCATCTCTACTGGACTACCTTGCTCATTCGAGCGATTTACAATATTACCTTCAAAAAGGTCTGATAAAAATCTTCATTTCTTGGATGCTCTCGGAAGGATCCCGCCATACACATTTATTGCTGGTTTCTTCGTTTCTTCATTTATGATAGAAGAAACTGCACGACAACCGGAGTGGAGACGAAGAATCCGACGAAGACGACGTCGATGAAAAGAAATCAAAATAAGATTCGCGGCAATCCCTTTGAATCGTTACAATTGTTTGATGAACTTATGCAAATGTTGTAAGCTTGAAAATCTACAACGGTTTAAGCACCGACGGGTAATCCGAGCTCAATCACTGTTAGAAACCTCATGATGCAATTGATGGATTGATCATTGATGTGCTTCAAAACATGCCTGTTGCATTAAAGTACTTTTTAAGATAAATAGTCCGATGTTACACCTGATACCCGCAAGAAATCACCTTCCCATTAGGGCACAGACAGAGAAAATATTCATGTAGATGAGTCGAGCTTGAAGAAATTCGAAACATGTCGTCATATTTCTCCTGCATTTCTCTCTCTGTGACAAACAATCCAAGCGTCCCGCGTCTCATAGATGAGAAGCGCGCCCACTGATTGTATTGGGCTTAGTCTATCAGTGGGCATAGTCCCTCTCAGAACGAACTCAAAGATTCAAGGTTTTTTGGCCCCGAGTTCCTCTGCATCGTCCGACACGGTTCGGCTCTAGCGGTGAACAAGCCAGGGTCAAAGAGTTTTACTATCTCCATATTCTGATTATGTCGATGAGCCTCGACAGGAGGAATTTTGAATTTTTCATGTTCCGGCGAGGAATCTGACATTGGGGAAGACGAAGAGGAATCAAGGTAGTGAGTCGCAGCTTTTTTTTTGCGAGATCCATCACTTCAAGATCCAGTTAAATCCAACAGAAGTAATGGGACTGGACAGAAACGACACGTCATTGTTCTTCGACAGACTCATCGTTATAGGGTGAAACGTTGAGTGATGGATAAAGGTTTTTCCTTTCGCAATACTTTGGATTAACTCGATGGTTGTGGAAGCTTACAGGGGAATCTATAAATATTTATTTATGCTGAAAATATTTCCTTTGAAGCGGACTTGAATGGACAAATATAGGCATCATGAACAGTAAAAGAAAATTTACAGTATAATAATGGAAAAAGTTGCTTAAAATTAAGAATTAAATAAACGGCGTGTAGTGAATAGAATTAATGGATGCTTAACTCTGTGATCCATTGCAGCCGTTGAATTTCGGTTTAAAAATACGTTCATTATCTAATATATATAGACGAAGGTGACTGACTGACGCTAATTATAACCATGTTCTAGAAGGGTTAAAATCTGAAACTTGGTTCACATGTACCTTTTGGGATGCAGAGTTAAAAAAAATCCTACTTTGGGTATACATGCTCTGGGGGTTCAAATTTTGGGGAAAACGTTTTTCTTCAATATATATTGTGACAGATGAGGATAACATTCAGAGAGGCACCTGGATGTGCTGGTTTCGGGGGGTTAAGTAGTAGCAAATCTGACTGGCAACCAGCAGGTCCGGGTTCAATTCCCGGGCTTTCCTTGGCCTTCTTTGGGCTTTTTTGTCTTCCATTTTCCCGTTACTCATTCCCCCTCCATAACATTATTTTATATAAGAGGCATGGAAAGCTGAAACCTGACATGGACGTGCCTACCGAGACGATGAGTTCAGGAAAAATGGAAAATTTTAGATCCATGACCTGGGGGTATATTTTTCTGCGCCGATGTTTTCAGTTAATTTTTTTTATCCTGGTGTATTGAGCTGGTGTGGAAAGATGAAATTTGGTACATAACTACCTATTGGGATGCTGCAGAAAACTTCAGACTTTGGAAGTAAATGCCCTGGGGGCACAAATTTCCAAGGGAGATGTTTTCAACTAATTTTTTTTTGCATCAGTTAAATTGATGAACATGAAAAGCTGAAACTCTGCATGAATGTGACTACTGAGACAAGGAGGTTAAGAAAAAGGGGAAGTCTCGATACATCCTCTGTGGGAATTTTTTCTAGGTGCGATGTTTTAAAAAAAAATTTTGCCGTGGCGAATTGGACAGAATTGGAAAGGTGAAACTTGGCACACGTATAAGTGATATGATATTACTGAGCTGAGGGAGTATTCAGCTTTCATGGTGCATCCCCTCCGGGCATAGCGTTAGTGTGGGTCGGCTTTTCCAAGCATATTTTTTCACCAGTGAAAAGGGCAAACACATAATATTGAAACGTTCTGTATGTAGTTCACTGAGGATGGATTTTGGTAAGAAAAAAATGGTACGTTTCGGTTAAAACGGCTCAGGGCACATAATTTGCAAAAGGCGTATTTTCACAAATTTTCTGATACAACAAAACAGGGCGCATGAAAGTTAACAAAACCTAGGCAAACAAGTACCTGATGGATAGCTGTGTAAAGGAAAAATTCTACTTTTCTAATATATATATAGACGATCGTGACAGACTGACGCTAATTCAATGAGAGGAAACGTATGAGGCAGAAACTGGGTGGCATGGATTTCCCTGAGTCTACATTCCAGAAGAAAAAAATTTTTCCGGTAAAACCCATCAAGGCTCTTTTTTTAAGTCCCATTTTCCTGAATTTTCTTTTTGATCCAACGAAACGGAGACAGAAAGTTTAAACTTCCCTCAGAAGTACCTATTTAATAACTGAATACAGAAAAATCTTACTTTTGAAATATGCCTCCTTAGCGTAGATTATTGGAGGGAAGTATTTCAAAATGCATTATCCACCCTTACTAAAAGGGACACAAGAAAGATCAGGCACACATAGAATCAGAGAAGTAATGATTTTGATAAAACTCAAGAATTTCGACTCCATTTCAATAGGGACATACTTTAAATAAATGTTTCCCATTTCGCAAAAAATAAATGAATTATTCACTATCCAAGGTGATGCAGCGCCGAAGGTGCGACTACAGCTAGTATAATATATTGCTTTTCATATTTCGCGCTCGGACAAACAATCGACACAAATCATTAATACTATGGACCTCAGGCATCAAGAATTGAAGTACCAAAAAGGAAGGTGGACTATCCGGAATGAAATTTTATTTTTTTCCGCTCCTTACGGAACAAGTAAATATTCCAGTACTTTCTTAAAATTGGGTAGAAATTTTTTATGCATTTGACATATGTATTTCCCTTGCAGATGCCCCATGGCATGCAATCTTCAAGGAAGGGCCGAATTGCACTAAATCAACTTTACCTTTTCACTGATGTTTTTGCAGAGTAGTGAATATGTAATGGGAGTTATTTGTTGCATGAATACACACAACTTCTGTCCAGCGAGAAAATTGCAATGGATGTCTGTTTCGGATTCATAGATACCAGTAGAGGTGAAAGACGAAGACGGACCAGAGCAGGACTGGGGCATTCGAGATGAGGGAAGGTGCACTCAATCACCGAAGCGTACTGCTTGAAAGGCCTTAAAGAGGGGTGTCAGTCAGCAGGGTAGTTTGTGGTGGTGTTACATGGTTATTGGAAAAACTTCGAGGATAACCGACTACATTGAAAAGAAGACATTGAAAATAATGACTGGTGCGGCCATCCCTTGAGTGAAAGTTTGGTGGTCTTCAGGGCTGTGGCGGATCCGAATGGCTTCTCTACTATCTGAATTCCTTGAAAACCAATCCAAATTTTTGGAGCATGAAAAGGCAACTTGTCAACACCTTTATTTCAGCATTTGATATATCGCTCCATATGTTTAACCCTGTCTGAGACAAATTTTAGATGAACCATTGCCTCATTTTGGAATACGACAGATGCTTTACACACCGAGTTGCTACATTGCTTGTCAATCTCTCATTCATGGTGCTAGTCAGATGAATGCCCACACAAAACTTCCTAACAGTCTAATATTCCGGCCCCTTAATATGACTGACGTTTGTGATGTTGCCAGGGTAAAAAAAATTCTCTCTTAGAACTTTGGGTCACACCACGTACTGTATATGGCATTTCAAATATATTCTGGTTAACATTACTTCTAAAGTGACTGAATAATTCTGAATTTCTGCAATCGATTTCAATATGATAGAATGTTTGTAATGTTCTTACGAAATGTCGATGAAGAGTAGGAAATGAATATTTCTGTTGAGGATCGATGCGACCAAAGATACAGTATCATGAACACTCTATGAAAGGCAGCTTTCCATCTCTGGAAATGTCTCAACAACTTCCCCACCTGCAATTTGGAAGTGTGTGAGTTTTTTTTTTATAGGAGACGGAGTTACCAAAATATAAGGAGCTAGAAAGATTGTATGGGGATATACGCTTCAAATGTTCAAGTCGTGAAGGGAAAAATGCATTTGAATTATTTGAATATTATGGAGCATATGGATCGAAAAGTAATCCATCTTCAGAAATGAGGCCAGCCGCATACCAAGCTGACGTGTAACTTAAATTGTTTATGGGCCTAACCTCCATGACGGCACGACGACAGCTGAGGATCACCATGACAAACCACAAACCTATATCTTCGCTTTAGAAGGAGGAAAAAGTTTCGGAAATGTGAAAAGTCGTTGCTCGGCGTTTCGTCTATAAACAACTCCATCGCTCGACAAAGGTGAATTGATTTTTAAGCTAATTTAGTACCTGGAGGTATTTCTCCATATTTCCCTTGGAAATTTTTGAAATGTATTTATCCCTTCAAGAATATTATCAATTTGGTAATTTGTCACCATTTTCAGTCATTTTGAACTCTCTAATAATCATTTCTCCACATCGGAATATTTCTAGAAAATGAACTTTAAATACCAGTGACTTTTTTGGGGAGCAAAGAAACTTGCCGTTGTGACGATATCTCGTCTAGCGGGGCCGGTAGTACTAAAAATTGGTATGATGGACTTCAGAAGTTAAGGGCAAACTACCTTAACGCCACAAAAGAGTTTGATCTATTATCTTAGAAGATTCGTAGTAGTCGATACGGTACCAATTTACCAGGGGCAAGTATTCCTATGCTGACCAGGTCTCACACAGATTCCATTTATTCTTCTCTCCACTTCTACATATTTCACACATAGAAGTATTCTCACAGGATTCAGGTAATAAGGAAATTATACGCAAAGTCTCTCAGCAAAACCTCACGAGTGAAACTCTTCCTTTCAAAGCATTTAGGCAAAATATGGGAAAAGGAACGAATGTCTCCTCACCCTCGGTGCAGCACCATGCGCAGTGACCTCGTGATTGGGGGCAATCACGGCTAAGCAACGAAATCGAAATATTCCTCCTTGCTAGTTCTAAGAGTCCCTCCCAGTTCCAACCAACACTTAGGCCCTCAGCTCCAACCGAGTAGAACTAGCAAGGTCTCAATTTAATAAATCTGACACTAGCCCCGCACTTGATGGCAGTGGCGAGGTCAGGAACATTTTCTCTCTCTCTTCTCTTGAGGAGGGTTTTGAACGGAGTTTTATATAATGTTCCCTCCCTCGGTTTTCGTCACAGTCATTACAGCATGCTTAACGTTCCATGGCTAGATGGATGATCCCCAATTATTTTCAGATGCTGAGCGGCTTATGACTGGATAGATGA